GTTACCACGGACTAAGAGGATCACTACAAATTGTTCCACACTATATTTGTCCCAACTACTATTTCATCCTAGTTTTACTATTTGTTCCACAATACACTTGTTTCGTCGACGCTGTGCATACAGCATAGAGTAATACTATATGGCATACTGGGCATTAGTTACAAAAAAATCAATGGGGGGGTTTCAACACCCAAAACCCCCCCCTGGCTACGCCACTGCATGTACCCCATCTAGTGATAATTGGTTGAGGTGGTAAAGGTAAATTTGGGAATAGTTCACGTAGTTTGATAATTCGGCTGGGAGCTTTCAAAAATACTTTTTTAATTGTCGCTATTAATTTATCAACAGTAGAATATTCATTTCGTAAACATTCGCTAATTCTATGAATCCCATGTGCCAAACATGTTAAATGAATTAAATTAGGGTATAACATAGTCAAGAAATTCGCTGATTTAACCATATATGGCGCGGCATCAGAAACAAAAAGTAAAACTTCTTCGTACTTCACTCCTGATGGCCATAATAGGTGCATTGCATCATTAAATATTTTGCCAATAGTTTGGAAATTACATTTTTCTAGTTCTTCACACATTAATAGATACGGCTTTGAATAATTGTCTTCGTGGAGGAGACCAACTATGACGTTACAAACATATCGACCGTCAACGTCCGTGGTCTCATCTATTGAAACCCAAATTGGCCCATCACCAATTTCCGAACGAATACGAGAAATAGTATTTTCATAAATTGAAGAAATATAGTTTTTGCGAATTGTAGACTGGTCAGGAACACATTTGCCAGTATATTTTTCTAAAAAATTTTTAAATGATGGATGATTTAACTTCCATAAAGGTATATCCGATTCTAACATTGCTTGACATAAATCTAGAGGAAAATTCGCTTGTTTATTTTGGTTATCTAATGTATTTTTAATGAACGACTGTTTAGATTTGGCTTTTAAATTAATATTTTTGTTATGCTTGCCTGTATTTAAATGCTGTACCACCTGAAAACGTTTTGTTACGGGCACAGCTTGATCACAAATAATACAATATAATATTTTACCATCTGTTTTAAAAACGTCACTTGAAAATTCTTCTACAAATTGACGTAACTTGGCACTTTCACTTTGAACTTTCGGCATTTTATAAAATTGTTCACTGATACTGTTATTAAAACCACTCAAATTTTAAGTATAAGTGTCCGCACATTTACGCAACACACGTCGTACTAATGAAATTAAATACGTCGTTAAATAATGTGTAGGTAATCCTATCGGTCGTAGATAAGATAAGATTAGATGGGTAATATTTAACGAATGGCTCTTAGCAGGAAAAATTTTTTGTAGAATCCATGACGTCATATCTCATGAAACTGTGATAAGGCGAACTATGATAACAATGATAACGAGAATATCAAATAATAATACTACCTATTAAATAGCAAAATAGTAAATTATAATATAATATTATATAATATTATTTTTATTTTATAAATGGTATATTAAAGTATTTTACTATACTATTACCTCTCTGCTAATAAGTAAATAGTTAAAAATAGTTTAAAATTAACAGTGAAACTAAAGATAATCCTGATAATCCAAAAAGGGTGAGAACTCCGGAACATATTAAACGATAAAGAGGAGATAGGTAAACTAATTTATTACTACATTGTTGGTGTTGTATGCAGGTGGTCTGGCTCAGTGAATACAATTATTGCTGGTAAATATTTGACTTAAATAAAAGTAGATACATAAATATTCTGGGTACCTAGTAAGTTAATTTATTTTACTTTATCATATTTTGAATCTGTATGTACTATTTTATATTCACCAAGGCAGGGCAAATTAATGTTTTACCCTCAGATATTGAATCTAATTGATCAAACAAAACTTGTTAATAACATAAATACATAATACATCTTTGACGACTTAATAAATATGAAAATTTAATTTTGGAAATATCTAGTTGTCAGTTAATACATTTTGGTTACAATTATAATATACAACTCTGAAATAACATAAAAAAAAATAGTAAAAATAATATTGCAACAAAAAAATTGAAGTGTCAATCATATTAGATAAAATAATTAAAATGTCAATAATTTATAGATAATAATAGTTAATAGATAGGTAATCATAATTTATAAATAGGAGTGGTCAAACATTTGTGTTGTACTTATGAATAAAGTTTCATTGGAAGAATTCCTTAATGATTCTCTAATATGCTTACTCTCATTAGATGATAAAGTAGGTGGTTCAATTCTTTTTTTTTTGTTGGTAAAAAATCTGGTTTGAGGTTCAATATTTCTCTTCTTTCCTACATTTGAAGTATTTTTAAAATCTGTATTTTTGGCCAATTTCGAAATTATTTTATCACATTGTTTTATTATATATTTTTGATCTATGTCATTTAACTTGGTACGATTCACCATTCCCAGTATTGACTCTAACTTATTTGTGATTTCTCCTGTATTATCTGTATTTTCATCTAACTTTGGCTGAGTTTCGTTTGGTTGTAGGAAACCATTATCAACAGCTAATTCATATGTTAAAGATGTTGAAGTTACTGCAGGTTTACATGGTAATAAAATATTTTTTTTTTGTTTTGCACATGCATGAATATGCTTGCAAATATTAAAGTAAATTACATTATTCATGCATGAGCACTTATAGGTATGAACACATATCTGGCATTCAACACAACTCAAAACACATTCACTACATGAAAAATTTGTTTTCTCAACTTTATAATGGACATTGTAGTTAGTTGTAGAATTAACCAACCAGTAACCATCAACTTCTGATATCATATTTGATGTTACCTCAGAAGATTTTTTATGAGCTGCAATAATTTGATTAATTTTAGAAGTTTTTTTTTGTTTTGCAATTTTAATAATCCTTTCAAAACTTTTATCCCTAACTAATGACATAAGTGCATTGATTGACAGATCTAAGCTTTTACATTTTTTCCCATCTAAATAACTATATTTTATGGTTTTGTGAAGTGCCTCTAAGTACATATTTGTATTTATACCAATGTGTTTTCTATTGAAATATGCCCACTTTTCTACTCTACATGAATACATCATTTTAAAGTACTTCCCAAAATCTTCAGTCTCTGTATCATTAAATAAGTCATCTAATACTTTTTGGAGTTCAATATAAAAATAATGTTCATTAGTTTCATACAACANCTTAAATTTTTTGTCCAATTTCTTAATACATGCCAAGTACATAAAAGCTGTTTTTCTGCAGGACCCATTACAGCGTTCCAGGCATTATAGAACGCTGGTTCATCATCGGACATAAACACATTTGCTGTAACTTTACCGGTTACATTTTTAATGCACTGAAAGTAATGTTTATATAAAGCGGTGTCAGATTTATTAGAAAAACAAAATGCAACGGGATATCCGTTTCCAAACTCATCCACCACAACTATAGTATACAACTGAAAATTATACCCATTTAACCCATGAGTTCCGTCTATACATACTTTATCATTTCCAAATTTCATTAGTAACTCTGACTGAAACTGTGTCATTATGATTAGACAAAAATCATCTTTTGTAAAACTTTGAACATTATTGTCACTGTTTCCCTGTTGTTTAAAATATATTATTGGACTTTCATCACCTTTCGCTATCATCTCTTTTACCCAAAGATTAACACTTATTAAATCGTTTTCATGTCTTTTGGTAGCATATGATATATTATAATCTCTTTTGATATTATGTATGTCCTTTTTTTCAATTAAGTGAATTCGTTTTATACTATCACTTTCAACATTTGATGATCTGATGTCTTCTAAGATTTTATTAACTGGTACACCCAATGATAATTTCCCTAAAAACATAATTAAATTTTATGAAGTTACATAATATTGGATCTACAAGTATGGGAATTTCATTGTAATTATTGCAACAATTTAGTATGACCAAATTACCTGCTATCTTGCTTCGATCTTCAACAAATAATCTCTGTTTTCCTATTTCATGTGTATGTGAAAGATGAGTATTACAATACTGTACAGAAAGTTTGGAATTTTGTAAGTGTACTTTTATATTAGATGGGCATGCATGGCCAATTTTTACTGTACCACAACTTTTTGTAGATCGATGGCCCTATTTTATTAAAATATTAGTTTAAATAAATGTGTTTCATGTTCAATTGTATTGTGCTAAAATATAACATTTTTAAATAATAAAATATTTTACTTTTCTAGTAGTTCTTTGACTAAATGATCTATGGCAAAAAAAGTACATATATTCTTTATCGGTTGATTTTTTGTTTGAAGTAGTTTTTACAAATTGACAAAATTCTTTTTCCTCGATAGTTCTTTTCCATGCATTAAAATCTATATAATTTTTAAAAATAACCAATGTAAAAAATGTTTTTGTAAATTACTTAATATATTTACCTTTACAATGTCAGCAAGTAAACTTGGAGGTCAATTTTCAAAAAATTCACAAATAAAACATTGTGTTTAGTTCACAGGAAGATAAAACAAATATTTAAAATTAATAATTGAGCTACAAGTAAACATGGATAGGAATCAGACTTGCTTGTGTAGAAAACACGTCAGTATTAATACAAATATGTACTTAGAGGCACTTCACAAAACACTTCATAAAAAATGTAAACGCTTAGATCTATTTTACTGGTTGGTAAATTTTACATCAAGCTACAATGTTCTTTATAAAGTTAAGAAAATTATATTATGTCAGAGTTGTATATTATAATTGTAACCAAAATGTATAACTGACCAATAGATATTCTCCCCATATTCAATGATTTTAATTAATTGCAGTTACAAAAATCATTAATTTGCCCAGCCTTGGTAAATAGTACATACAGATTCAAAATATGATAAAGTAAAAAAAAATTAACGTTCACATAATGAATACTTTATACTGATAAACTGATCCAGTCATCCGGTCATCGACAGTTTCACAATAAAACAAAAAACACAACATTTCTCCAGGTACTTATATCGTTATCCTAGGCAGAATTAAACAATATTAGACACAAATAACAAAATTACGAAGTACGATATTGTCAGAGCACATACATACAACACCAACAATGTAGTAATAAATTAGTTTACCTTCTATATTTTCAAAATGTAGCAATTTTGTCTCAATATTTACATTATGTATACTCTGTAAATGAACAATCAATCCAGACATTGATGAAAAGGATTTTGGACATAACGAACATAATGATTGACGCTGTACATTTTTCATCAAATGGCTTTTGACATGCTGAATCAAAACCTTTTTTAAGTCAAAAGTTTCGTTACAATCATTGCATGTGTACAAGTTACGTTTAATAACTTTAGTTTTTTTTAAGTCTTTATGTTTAATCCTCATATGCTTGTTAAAACCTGAAATTGATTGAAACTTTGCTTCGCAAACTTCACAGGAATACATAATGTTGTTCGTAAAAGTTTAAACTTATAGAACTTTATTTAAGTGAAGTAAAAGCAAATTCAAGTTTCAGACTTTCAGTTGAAATTTGAAAAACAAAACATTGATATTCTCGTTATCATTGTCATCATAGTTCGCCTTATCACAGTTTCATGAGATATGACGTCATGGATTCTACAAAAAATTTTTCCTGCTAAGAGCCATTCGTAATATTTATACTATATATTTACAATTCGACGGATAAACCAAAAACTATCGGTATTATGAAATAAACGCCATTTAAAATTAACAATAATTTATAAAAATTTAAAAATTTAAGTTAAAAAAAAAATAAAAAACCTTAAAATCTATAAATATGCAATTATATGCATTGTGTTTAAAATATGCAAAAATATGCAAAAAAAAATTGATTTTATTTAAACGAGAGTAAGCAAAATCGTGGACAAATTTGACAAACAATCGATTTGGACTTAAGGAAAAAAACATGCAAATGCATATAAATCCTAGCCCTAGTTATCAGCATAGATAATAATCATTATCAGTGGAGTTACAATAACCTACCTATTTTTTCGGGGTCAAAGAGTTAACCCAGAGTCTAACAACTCGGCGTTACCGAACGGTAGTACGGAGTTAACTCTGCGTTCCCGAACACAGTTGGGTAACTATTTTTTTACAGAGTTAACTAGAGTTGAGTTTTCGAACGCACCTCTGTAGAGTGTTAGTGTAGAATCATGATAAAATATTTTATTATGTACACTGTCTGTATTTTTTTTATACTATACATCAATTTTCATAAATGCGGGACAAAAGTGGGATATTTAGATATGCGGGACGCACCTCTGAAAAACGGGACAATCCCCCCTAATGGGGGACGTCTGGTCACACTACTCATACTCTCAACTGAATAGATGTTTTCCTGGACTTTTGTAGAATTTATAAAATTTCTATTGTGTTTTTCTAATCGAGGAAAGTTGAACTTATCTGATTGACTAAAATTTGAGACAGAACTTTCTATTGTATTGTTATTTTTTAATTCATTTATAATAATGTCTTTCTGGTTTTCATGAAGGTCATTTTGAATGGAATTTAAGAGCTGAATCCTAGTTAATCTTTTTAGTATATCATTCATACTAAAATTAATCATAGTTGAATAAGTTGATGTCATCGATCTTGCGGTTCTAAAAATTTCTTCACAAGCTTGACTACTGTATGACCAAGGTATAAACATAGATGGACGTAGACTATAATTATTATCTCTAAATTTTTTTATTAATTGTATCAATGAATGTGCATTCAATTCAATGCATGAATATGAATTAGTTGTAATGAAATTATTTTTTAAAGTAAATTGTTTATCTTTTAATATAGAGTATCTCCAGATGCGTAAAAAATATAAACTATACCATATTTTATAAATTCTATCTTCAAGAGTAATTGATTTGTCTAAAAATGACAATAGAATATCAAAAAATATGTATTTAAATACAAATCCCAGCCCTATTAATAAGTAATAACAAATTTAAATATAATATAAAATATCCACATGACAAACCGTCCTAGTTTAGAATCGTTTTTTCGTATATAATGATAATATTATATCATTGAATTCAAATTTAATACCATCCATTAAACTGTGACCCACTTGTAACCTACTGTACAGCAAAGCGACATCCACTTAATCACCTTTTTAAAACATGAAGTTCCTAATAATAAACAGTAGGTAATAACCGAGGTAATAACTAATAAATAATTATGTTCGTATTCATATAAAGCACTTATTTTTATGAATAAATAATTGTATACTTGCCTCCTTGGTAAAATTGTTCGTGCATCGAATACAGATGCAACCTCAAATGCAACGATGCTTCTCTGAAGAACGAGCGAAATAAAATAAAACAATTTTAGATATTCACATTTAACAGTACCTATTATTTGTATATCGTATTAGATAGTATACCGTATAATGTATAGTTTATTCAACAGTAAACAACGTTTATTTTTATAATTTCCTGCCTAGAGGAAAATAATATTAATAACCGATAATAGGGTAAAGTGTACAGTTATTGGCACTCTTTAGAAAAGTGTATATTTGTTTCCATGAAATTTCAGACTTAAACATAGTTGAAACTTGTATTATCATTTCCAATGATTAAGCATATTGTTATCAATCTTACCTTATGATCATTATATATAAATATTAAATACTTTTTTTTTTATTTACCATCAAGTATAAAATAACCGAAAATTATAGTTATTGGCACCTAAAATTGTGTTATTGGTTTTATAATTTCTATTATTGGCATCCTCTTAAATTATATATGTAATTTAATAGTTTCACCGATTCATTTGGGTAAATTAATAAATAAAACTACCTATCTATACTATTTTATAGATAGATATTAGCTACTACTTAGGTATAATGAATAATAATTAAAAAACACATATAGGTATGAGCCCCAAACAAAATTTAAATTACACCTAACTGTAGAAAAATTTACATATTTAGTTTATAATTAGTTTAAAATAACTAATGAATTAATTAATTGTGTTGTAAAGATATTTTATAATTTATTATTTAACTACCTATATGCTTCACTTAGGTAACTCATTCCAAAATTCATAACATTTTATTTAATCACAATATGTAGTACTATATTCTTGTGGTTATGAGTCAAATAGATGCCTATTATATCAAACTAAAATTAGTACATCTAGCAGCAATTATAATTATGCTAAACAATTTTAATAGGCACTTACCTATTATAATGTAGGTACCCAATAATTTAGATAAAGTATTTGATTATAATAAGAAGAAATAATAAAATACATTTCAAAGTTTAAAATATT